TGTTTTATGTTCCTCCACATGCAAAGGTAGGAGAGATGTACCCGACTCATATCCATGCATTGATGTGGTGTAGAGGACTAGAATAACCCCCTACACACAGAATCAGACATGCTCTTGGTCTTTCTTGTTGCCACCATAACCTCTGCCACCTCTTTCTGCTAAGTCCTTCACATTGCTGGTAACTCATCTGGTTCAGCTGACTCTTCTGCATCTGCCCAGGATACAGGCTCAAGAGTTAATCTGGAGCCTTTTTGAAAGAGAAAGTATCAACTAAAGAACAATATTATTGCAGGTTTAGTTGACCCACAATAGCCTTCCCCAACCTAGCACTCTTCCTATTTGTTGGATTGCAACTCCCAGAATTACCAGTTTGTCAAAGGCTAAAATTCTGGGAGTTACAGGCGCAATGCAACTGACAGAGTAAGATTCGGAGAGGCTAGCATGCAGCATTTATTGGTCAATGTCAGTTTGCATTAGGCATGTTAGGCCAGCTACTTGGCAAGTTTCATGAAGGATACAATTTTGTTTCTTTATACCCTGAAGCCAGACTAATGTACCCAAACACTTTTTTAAAAATGCAGACAATATCAACACAAACCCCCTTTTTCCCCCTGTACTTTTATCATGGAAGGAATACACTTCAGTGTAATTGTTAGTAGCTGTTATGACTGTTGTTGGTGGGCCAATGTTTTACAGTAATAGTCACAAGAAGACTCCCCCTTCTCTGAGGAGAAGACGACCACCAGAAGCAAATACCTCCACTGTGATTGGTGAGGTCAACTTAAGCACACTACTGTTAAGAGAAGCATGTTATTCAATGTGGCAGATTTCCTTTCTGGATTATTATAATTTATAGACTGCTAATATTTCAGCCAGTCTCCTTAATCATTTCAGAATTCCAGTTCAAAGACAAGTCATATGCCAAGCACTGTGTAGATAAGTTGTATGTCCTATTCTTGCTTCTTTGAAAAAGTCACTGGCCCAGAGTTAATTCTACGGCCTGTCCCAGCCTTAAATTTCTCCGCATATGTATCTTAAAATATATTTTGACACTGAAACTACTTAGAATTGATGTGAACACGGACTGAGCCAAAGGAATAAGGACGTACTTCAGCTTTCTTTACATCAGTGCCCTACTATGCTTATAGAGAAGGTATTTCACTAGTTGTATGAATAGGGAATGGAAGCATGAACCCAAATCTCTTGGCAATGCTATAGAGTTTCTCAACCTTGGCAACTTTAAGCTGGGTGGTTCTCAACTGCCAGAATTCCCCAACCAGCATTCCAGGAGTTGGTCCACCCAGTTCAAAGTTGCCAAGGTTGAGAAACACTGCTATAGATGATTGGTATGTGGGGCTCAGCAGAAGCTTGGGAGCTAAACAAGGTTGGGCCTCGTCAGTCCTTGGATGGGGAGCTTTAACACCAGGGTTTTCAGGGCAGAGAGGGCAGTTGAAAAACATTCCAGAAAAAGAAAAGGATAAAACCACTTCTTTATCGGTAATAAGAAAAATACATTGACAAGTCTATAAAATCATCAGGAGTCAAGCTTCAGCTGAAGTAGATGTTATTCTTTTTCTGGAACAGATTATAAAATGTGGAAGTAAAATATATATTTAAAGATATATAAGCATCCATGTTTTAATTGTTTTCTACAAAAATCACAATACACTTCTGTTTACAAGTGAACCAAAAGCCCCTATATCCAAACAGAAAAGTTCTATATACAAAATGTTGCAATGTCCATAAATAGAAGTCATAATTAATAGGACTTAGCAGATCCTGACATTCTTTTCTTTTGCAGAAAGCAATCATGGAAGGAGCCTTGTTTGATTATGCCTGGCTAGTTTCCTTACTATACTTAAAAGTGGCTTAGAGATTAGTTACAAATTTGGTATAGAGAAAGAGTTAATTCTCTTGCAGTACAGCTCTGATCCCCTGCAATTGGGTTTTCCATGTATCCACACATCTAATCTTGGACTTTCCCCACCAGTTTTATTTTAGCTATCATTCTGCAGTGCTTTTATCATGGAGTAAGGGATGCATGAATTGTTTTGGTGTAATGTCCAGAATGTATGTGGCCATGTGGTTCTTTCTTGTGGGTTAATGACACAAATCTAATCTATCTTCTTGGAAGAGATACAGTGATATATTTTGAATTCAGTGGCTTTCATTTGTAGGCTAGGTGGATACTAAGCTTCATTTACTCCTCTCTCCAGCTTGTTGCTGTAGAGAATGGCTGAAACAGGGAAAGAGATGAAACACAACAGTGTTAATTCTCATCACATGTGAAAAATGGGACTTGGCCACTCGATGAGTTAATGTCCCAGGCTCCAGCAGTTGCTCTTACACGTCAGAAGCTTTTGGAATGGAAAATAAGTTCTACTGAAAAACATTTAAAAAAAGGACGCTGCAACCAAAACTCTTCCCCCCCCCCCCCGTGTACAAGAATAGGAGGAGGGATTTAGAGGGGAATACTATGGCAGTTTTGGGAAAGTATATTAACAAAAGCCAAGTAATATACCTCTTTCATAGCTCTGAATACAGCAAATATGTAAATTAGTCCAAATGGCAAATGACAGTGTCCCCATTTGAATGTAATAATAAACCATGGCTAATTATTATGTAATCCTTGTTTCCCTCACTTATAGAATGCTCAGAAATTAGAAGCTTTTATTTCTGTTTAGAATCATTGAATGTTCAGTACTGTCACTGAACTAAAAACCCCCTGCAATTAGTTAAAATAGTCCAACTTCATATAATATATTTAATGATGATTAAGATTAACCCCAATTGATGCAACATTAAACCGGTCAATTTAAATTGAAAGCAAAAATCTGAAGATAGAAGAAAAGGATGAATAACCCAAAGCTCTTGCACTTTTGGGGTCCTGGATGCAACGTTGTTGCTAGACAGTTGTGTATATCGTGTCAAGAGGAACCTTTATCAGCTTCAGCTAACAAACCAACCATGGCCCTACTTCAATGAGAGGGACCTGGCTTCAGTGACTCATACCGAAGTAACCTCAGACTTGGTTTATTATCATGCCTCCTTCAGTGGTGGCTCTTGAAGGTGGTCAGAAATTGTACCTAATTCAGGATGTAATAGCAAGGTAATTAGTGATACCTTTTGATGGTCCCCTGTAATTCTTGTACTGGAACAACTCCACTGATTACCTGTTGCCTTCCGTATCAAAGTGCACAGATTGGTATACAGTGTCTTAGCTTAGGATCAAGTTACTTGCAGGTCTTCTGTTTCCATTTGGTCTACTTCACATTGTTATATCGTCAGCATGGCACCTTTTCAGGGTCCTACTGCATGTGCATTTGACAGCTACACTCAGTTTTCTCTTTATTGGAGCTCATGTTATGGAACAAGATGTCAGAATTAAAGCAGGTCTATTCCTTATTATAAGCTAGGATGGGACTTAAAACCTATTTGTCTACTTATGCATTTTAATTGTCTTAATTTTAATTGCTTTAGCCTTTTGAATGATTACTGTTTTATAACATTATTTTAATAGTGTTCCAGGATTCACTTTTCCATTGCACTTTTATTTTAATTGTATTTCTGGGTGGGCAGCATATAAATACTTTAAATAAAATAATAAGTCATTGTTTATTGCTACATCCAAGCCAGGCCAGTATTCTAAGTGCATAACAGTCTTAACCTATTATCATACTGTGAGGCCCTAGAACTATTTTTAGTAATTTTAATCAGCCGCAACAATTGGAATGTCAGTCCTTTGGGGCTATGATTCTTCTACTTACTATGGGTGACTACAGAAGCTGAACTTCTAGTTAAGAAAGAATACCAACATTTTCTTATGCATTTTCCTGCCTGAGTCATCTATGTCAATTGCAGAATTAGACGACTAAGAAAAGAAGAAAGAAAACCCAGATGGCTTCATCTTTGTCATACTTAGTAGTATGTGTTTTTTTTAAAAAAGAAATACAACAATCTTGAAAATATTTGCAGCAAATAAAATGTAACAATGATTGTACATTCTCAGCTTTCTAAAATGTAGCAGCCATCTGTCCCTCTGTCAAGCAAATGGCTGTGATCACTTACCAGCTGACTGTAGTGCCAGAATTTGAGCTTTTGGGGAAAATGCTGTGAATACCATAATAGTCCCCTACACATTCTTTGAAAGCCCTTTATCACCAGAGTTTAATGCCTTGCTTTCCCTAAACTAGTCATCTCTTAAACCAATGGAAAAAGATGCAGCTGCTTTAACAAGACTGTCTTGAACTATATTCCTATTGCATGAAAATTGGTATCTGGACAACAAAGAAAGATTGTTTGTAACCTACTTAGAATTATATGTAATCTTCAGCATTGGAAAGATAAACATACAGCCTCAACTATTCAGTGGTCTACAGAGTTGAAGTTATTAGTAATTTATCAATGAACCACATATTGACATAGATTAGCTATGGAAGATTACAGTGAACGATGGCTACCATTAATTGAAATGCTTATATAGAACTTTTATGTTTGTATATGTATCCATGAGTATATGTCCTGCATATTTTTGTTTCATTTTCTTTTAGTTATCTTCTGTTTGTATAACTTCCTGCATTATTTTTTCTTTCTGTTTGTTTTTGTATTCAGTTAATTAAAGCAAAAAAAAAAAAAAAAGCGCTTTCTACATGCTCTCAGGTGTTCTAAAGCATCTTCCTCAAAAGATTTATTCAGCCCTAAGTTTAGGCATGTCTTGTATATTTATGATAGATTTTCTTCTCTCTTAGTTTGGCCACAAGAAAGATCAAGAAGAACACACACATGCTCACTCTAGTATAAATCTCTCCTGCCCGTGTTGTCAATAGAAGCAATTCCCATGACATTTCTAAAATCTGTCACTTGGGGGAGTCCTAGCTTACCAGCTCTCTTACACCTTGTTAGAAGGTGGTGCCAATGACTAGATTAGAGATGGTGAAATTTCTCCTTCGTTACTCAGTGGCTGTTGCTGGGTTCTCTCCCTCCCATTCAGAGGGAGCAGAGTTCATGCTCCGGGAATGAAGTGTCATTAGGACAAATAAAACAGACGCAGGAGGGAAAAGCAAAGTGGTGAGAGTTAAAAAGAGAGAGACAGAAAGACGACACCAAGCATTTTGATTACATCAGATCTGGTGGGAGAAATAACACTAGCTCTCTGGAATAGCCAGCCTTCTGGGCATTTGTTTTGTTCATTACTTCTGGAAAAGGAGGACGAGTGTATGTATATGGATATATATCTGTGCGTGTTTATAAAACATTTCAGTTGAACTTCCGCCTTTCCGCTGCTGCTGCTGCTGCTGTGACTTTTTTCTGTCATGGTAAAAGAAAAAGGTAATTGAATCATATGTACCTTGTAGGTTGAGACTGGGAAAATAGGGGATCACCTAGGTTTGCTTTTCCATGGTGTTTTTCGTTGTTGTTTCTTAAATTTCTTACAGTTTTTGGTGGGTAGTATGATTAAAAGGTATCTTCTGGGCAATATTTTTTTGAATTAAAGGAGTTATTGCATGGGGTATGTTCACAAGGTTACTGTGAAAGTACTTAGTTAGGAATCTGTTTAGTGGAGACCTTGAGACTGGATTGAAATGCGATACAGTTTCAGTTCTGAAGCTGCATATCTTAGAAGTGTCCTATCTTGAAACTTGACTAGAAAAGCAGTTTAAGAACCTTGAACACCATATGGTTCACAGCCTAACAAAGTACATTTCGAGGATTCTTTTGCACGTTGAAGCGCTGTTGAATATGTGGTGCTATTCTGAAGCAACTGTTCTAATTTATTCACTTTTAGATTTATAGAAAAGTGCAGAGGACTCACCCATTTTAGAAAAAAACTATTGTACTTTTTCCAGAAATAATAAGCATTGGGTTGAGAATTGACTCATGACTGTTTATATAGTCTCTCTTTTTTGTTTTGTTTTATTTGTGTGTGGGTACACACCCTTTGTATAAGAAAGGTTAATTTCAGCACTGTGCTTGTACTTGACTCAAGGGAGGTCTCTAAATATCATGATGATTAAATAGGTAAGGCCTATTTCTGATGATATGGTTTTAAAATACATACTTATTTAAAAACAAAACAAAACCTCAGGAAACCAGTCTGGCAAATATATTTCTGTGGTGTAAGTAGGCATGAGAGGTTATATTCCCTATATTATAAAAATCAAAAGATTAATGTGGATATCTGTTGTAATGGTTAAAGTCGCTTTTTTAATGAGACGGGCAGTGACAAATTTGATAGATAGATAGACAGACAGACAGATAGATAAAAAATAAAGAGTTAGATTAGAACTGGGATACCCAGGGTCAAGGCTACCCTAAACCACAAAAGCTCACTGGGAGACTTTGGGCCAATCAATCTCCCTCAGGCCAAACTGCCTCAAAGGGTCTTTGCTGCAGGGAAAAATGGGAGGAGGAAGTGCTGTTTTTGCTGCTTTGAGCTCCTAAAAGAAGAGTGTGATATTATTCTAAATGAATAAAACAACAGGTATGATTTTTGAACATAACATGTAATATGAAGTAATTGTAGTAAAGTTTAATTTTTCAGTTCTGGTGCATTTAACAGATTCATACCCGGTAGAAATAAAGCGGAGAGATTTCTGCATTGAAGTTTCGTTGTGGGAAACGTTAAAGAATTCTGGTTTGTCAGGCCTGCTTTTAAAAGTACAGGAATTCTTCCAATAAAATGTTGACAACTTCAGCTCATGCTAGTTTGTGAATCTCTGAAGAAAAGTACTACTCAGTGTAGACTTTTTTTTCTCCCCTGAAATAACTGGAAATGGTTCTAAGGAAACATCTAGGTTTGGCTGTCTTGTTTTGACTGATAGTGTCAAAATAACAACTGCAGTTCTGTGCTCCTTATTTCCCACAAAACTCCCTTTGGCAGTGTTCCTCCTAAATTTCAGGCCAGAGCATTTTCCCCCAACCCTTCCTGGCCGGGAAATGGTGGCCAGGGAGTGAATGTGGAAACTGTTGTATGCAAAGCATGTGTTCTTCCTTTGAGGTATGGTATCTGAGTCTTGTTAATATCAGAAGAATAAGAGAGCAGCTGAAACATTCATCTTACTGCCAAGAATTACTGATGATTAGAAGTGGCTTTAGTATTGAATGTTCCATAGAAGCTGTTGCTTTTTCCAGCTGCAAATACCACACTTGAACCATAGACTACACCCACTGACATTCTGCCCCATGCAAAGGCTGTGCTGCTATGGAAAAAACTTAGGCATAGCCTAATGCACACAACACTAATATTGCAGATTAAAACTTCATATAGGAAGTAGCTTGTTTTCTACCTTCTTGCTTCTCTTGCCTAGGTGGAACTCCATCATCCTGAGCATTCTGGAAAAATCAATTAAGTGAATTAAATTAAAACTGCAAGTTTCATTTTAATAAGATAAATGTTAAGTGTCCTGACATAGTGAAATGGAAATCAAATAAACTGTATATACAGTGGGGCAAAAAAGTATTTAGTCAGCCACCAATTGTGCAAGTTCTCCCACTTAAAAAGATGACTGTGAAGCATGGGGGTGGAAACATCATGCTTTGACTGTGAAGCATGGGGGTGGAAACATCATGCTTTGGGGCTGTTTTTCTGCAAAGGGACCAGGACGACTGATCCGACACCAGAAACAAAATTGTAGACCTGCACCAGGCTGGGAAGACTGAATCTGCAACAGGCAAGCAGCTTGGTGTGAAGAAATCAACTGTGGGAGCAATAATTAGAGGAGAGAGAATGCTGAGTTGCATCCAAAGAACACCATACCTACTGTGAAGCATGGGGGTGGAAACATCATGCTTTGGGGCTGTTTTTCTGCAAAGGGACCAGGACGACTGATCCGACACCAGAAACAAAATTGTAGACCTGCACCAGGCTGGGAAGACTGAATCTGCAACAGGCAAGCAGCTTGGTGTGAAGAAATCAACTGTGGGAGCAATAATTAGAGGAGAGAGAATGCTGAGTTGCATCCAAAGAACACCATACCTACTGTGAAGCATGGGGGTGGAAACATCATGCTTTGGGGCTGTTTTTCTGCAAAGGGACCAGGACGACTGATCCGACACCAGAAACAAAATTGTAGACCTGCACCAGGCTGGGAAGACTGAATCTGCAACAGGCAAGCAGCTTGGTGTGAAGAAATCAACTGTGGGAGCAATAATTAGAGGAGAGAGAATGCTGAGTTGCATCCAAAGAACACCATACCTACTGTGAAGCATGGGGGTGGAAACATCATGCTTTGGGGCTGTTTTTCTGCAAAGGGACCAGGACGACTGATCCGACACCAGAAACAAAATTGTAGACCTGCACCAGGCTGGGAAGACTGAATCTGCAACAGGCAAGCAGCTTGGTGTGAAGAAATCAACTGTGGGAGCAATAATTAGATCTTTTTAAGTGGGAGAACTTGCACAATTGGTGGCTGACTAAATACTCTTTTGCCCCACTGTATGTATCTGATACCATTGTTTCATTCTCACATGCGTCTTATTGAGAGGTACATAGATGTGTCCAAATATATTTCTCTAAGCTGTCCTTTCTGTGTGTATCCAAGGACATTTTTTTTCCTTCTGTAAAAGCAGAGGCAATGAAAAACAGAATCAGATTATGTGTACTTATCCATTTCTATCTATGTTTTGAACATCTACCCATCAATTAGAATTAGAAACGTCACTAAGGAATGTAACACAGTGTGTCCATGGACATTCCAGCAAATTGGCAGTCCTTTGTTAACACCATTTCTTTAGTGGAAGTCAACAATCTGAGTTCTCTAGTTGGTGAGCAAATATTAAATAGGCATAATAACTTGAATTTGCCTTACTGAAAAAGGTAGTAGACATGTCAAGCATGTGTGCACCTTAATTCTAAAATCTGTAGCAATTTTGTTTCTTAAAAGGGCACCCATATTGTAAATGTTAGCATGATTTATAACTAGACCCTATTTCAGAATATGTTGAGGTTTATGTTTCTTGTTTCATAATGTCACCAACACTGTGGCATTTTGTAAAGAACTCTTTTTCATTTCTATGATAAATGAATTAATTGGCTTTGACTGTTATGGTAGTATCTTCCACTCGAGCTGGAATTTTGAAGAAGAACCATCATTACATAATTTCAGCAGTTGACTTCTAAGATTCAAATTCCCCAACTTGCCCAGTTTTTCTCCTTTTTCTTTGTTCATTGGCCCATACCTAATACTGCTCTATTTGCATTTGCTTCTGGCACTGTCAACATAACACACAATTTAACAATGTACTGTTAGGAGCAAATGTCTTATTTCTGAACAAGGCCTCTGGTGTTTCCCTGACTGCACAAGTTGGCACCTGTGATGTATATTAATACATATATATTTAAGCATTATGAAAATATCTATCAGTATAAAATTCAGGAAATGTCTTAATATTTTCTGGAGATGTCTGCAGCAGAGCTTGTCTTCCATCAAATAATTTCTCCACTATATACAGTACTGTGCACAAGTTTTAGGCAGGTGTGAAAAAATGCTATAAAGTAAGAATGCTTTCAAAAATATATA